TAGAATAGTTGGTAAGAGTTTCACTATGTGACTTTGGGGGGTTCGACTCCAACCTATTACGATTCTTGAGATTGAGGATTCAAGAAGCCTTGCATGCAAAGCCGAGTCGGGTTGACCCCAGTGAGGTCATCGAACCTAATAGCATCTACTTTTAGACACAAAATAATTTTTCCGTTGTTAAATTTAGAGACGGGTTTTTATTTTCCATTGCTAAATTTAGAAACATATTTTTTTTTTCCGTTGCTGATATGAGCAACGGTTTTTTTTTCCATTGCTAATTCCACTGACAGATAAAAATAATTCGTTGCTAAAACCAGCAATGGAAATAAAAATCTGTTGCTAAGTTCAACAACGGAAAACAAATACAACGTCGCTAGTCTCATTTAACGACAACATTTTTGCCAATGCAACGGAGTAATTCTATTTCAGAATCTGTCGCTACCTATATTTAACGACAAAAAAGTACAGTCTAGCAACGGATTTGATATGTTGCTAAATGTCTTTTTGTTTTTGTAGTGGTTTTAATATAAAGTTTAATAACTTATATTATAAAATAATTTACATTAATTAATATTTAATTATATAAATATAAAGTCAAACTAGTGTATTGACATATGTGCAATGTTTGACTGTGTCATATATTATGGGACAGGAGTAAAAATTATTTTCTCCGTTTATTTTGATACTTGCAACACGTACTTTCTTTTCATGCTTATCAATGCACTATTTCATTCTTTAATATTTTTAATTATCAATGAGTAAAAATTATAAAAATTTGATATTATAAAAGTATACATCGAGTTGAGTTTAACAAGATCCCACTACCTACATATCACCAAAGCTAGTCAAAGTGAGATACAAGAAAGTCAAGAATAGAGTAAAAGTCAAACTATTGCAAGTAAAAAAATAAAATAAAAATAAAAAAATTGGAGGAAGTATAAAGATAGTAGGTTATTCTGCTTCTAGTTGTTGATTGTTAAAATAAACATGCCAAATACAGAAGCGATACTCATGTGCCAATGCCATTATTGGCAATGATTTACCTATAGAAGATGGAGATGAAGTTAGTCAAGTTAGGCCATGTTCACTTCAACTTAAAAAAAAAATATTCAATAAAAATAATTTCGGTTTAGTAAAAATAATTTCAATTCAGCAAATTAAAAATAAGTTAACGGTTTAGCAAAAATAATTTCAATTCAATAAAAATCAGTAAATGTAAAGAAGAAATATAATAGAGATTCAGTAAAAATAATTCAGTTCAGCAAAAATAATTTCAGTTCAGTAAAATTAATTTTAGTTTAGTAAAAATGATTTAAGTTCAGCAAAAATAATTTCAATTCAGTAAAAATAATTCTAATTCAGCAAAAATAAGGTGAAGTGAACGGAGCCTTACAGTAAATAACTACTACTCCCTCCGTTTTAAAATACTTGCTCCACTTTCCTTTTTCGGTCGTTTTTAAATACTTGCTCCATTTCCTTATTTCAAAAGGTTTTACTATATTGAATTAATTTCTCTTACCAAGTGGACCCAACAATATTAATTCCATATTCTCTCTCCTTCAATTATCTCCACTACCTTTGGTTTTTCTTACAATTTTTTATTCTTTCACCAACCCCACTACCTCCATATTTTATTATTTTATCCAATCTATCTATCTACTACCTCCGTTACATATTATGTGCAACGATTAGACATTTTTCCTCTCTACTTTATGTCAAATCGTTGCAAATAATATGTAACGGAGGTAGTATATATCTATCTATCTATCTATATATCTATCTATCTATATCTATCTATATATTATACTAAAAGACAAGCGCCTCAATGTGAGGATGACAAATGTCACTCTCTCATTGGCTTATCTTATGTATAAAATATATCTATATAATTACTGTTTACATATTTAAATATAGTTATTTTTGTTAAACTTCAAACAATAAAAGCATGTTTCTATACATGCATAAGATTTTCATGATTTCCTAACATAAATATTGATTTAATTTTTTATAATAAATATATACTTTCCAATACTACAAATAATCCATAAAATCTTTCCAATCTTTATTTATAGTTAAGTTAAAGAATAATAACTAATTTGAAGAAATAGGATTAAAGTGGCATAATTAAGGAAACAAATATTTCGTATTTTGAAAGGCTAATATTGTTTTTTTTTATGAAAATTAAATAAAATCGATAATATTTAGTTTGACGTCAATTATGAAATCAATACAAACATTTAAAAAAAAATCAGATGTACAATAAAATATTGTGCACCTATTATAAAAGCTACCCTGTAATGAATGAAAGTTATTTATGCTTTATTGATAAAAGTTACCCAAAATAATGTAAAAGTTTTTGATAAAGATACAAAATAGTGTAAAAATTACTTTTATCATTTGTTGTACTCCTTTGACAAATACTGAATGCTGAGCCGAAATGTTGTCTTGGAAAAAAATACATAATCTTGAACATAAATTTAATTTTAATCGGCCTTTCATTTTCTATACAATGTCTTTTACAATGACCTTTTGTTTTTCTTGCATTAAAAAACCAAAAAAAAAAAAAAAAAAAAAAAAAAAAAAAAAAAAAAAAAAAAAAACCTCTGAACCAATAACCAATCTAAACAAGAGGAATAAAAGTTAAATTGAATTAGACATTTGACGGAAAAGGGATAGATATAAAATGTATTATAACTATTCTCATGTTTTAAATTGTAATATTCGTATTAACAATGCAATTACTTATGAATTTTTTTTAGAAAAACTAACATTTTGATTTAAAAATCATGCATTGATCATGTACTATACTAGATATACAACAATCATGTGCAATAATTTATGTTGTTTTATACATAATAATACTTTTAACTATAATAGTATGTGTATATAATATAATATTCTTTATAATATAAAAAAGTATACATATATAATATACAAAAGTTTTTGTATGCTCCGGGTGTACAATAATATTATTGTACATCCAAATCTCACACGTGCCACAAGGCCCATAAGCAATCAAGTCATTCATGAAAAGTTGAAAACAACAACAAGTCAACAATCACAGTCCCCAATATTTTTCTCTCATGTTTGTTCAACCAAACAAAAGAATATTGCAACCAAATTCAACCTCAAACCACAAAAATATAGTTGTATTTGTATAGAATTTCAATTCCACTAATCTTAATTTTCAGCGTGCAATTGATTGACCTGTTGATGATCAAATTACGAACCCTAAATTACTCAAATTGCAATACTTGCTTTCAAATTTATTGATTAACAATTCCAGTTGATTTTTCCGGTCATATTTCCGAACCTTCAATTCAAATCATGGCATGAAATTAAAATATTTAACTCTCAAATCATAATTGAAGCTACACGATGGAAACAACTACAGCTAGTATTTGGTAATGTCAGAATAATCTAGTATCCTGTTGTTATTGTATTTGTTTTCATTTTATCGCAATTCTCGCTAATATTTATGGTGATGCTTTTGATTATTTTGTGGTGTTGTCTTTCACTTATAGCTTCAATGTCGTTCTAATACTGGTGTATCACAATTTATCACAATTTATATTATCAAGGTACTATGCAATTTTATTGATACTGAGTATATTCATAGCTTTCTATAAAATTATTGTTGGTGCTTAATGCTTATGTATTATCAAGGTACTATGCAATTTTATTGAATATAAGAGTATATTTATAGCCCTCTGTAAATATGTCATTTGTTAATTGGAAGAGAAAATCATTATATACAAAAAAACAATTTTTTATTATGTTGTTTACAAGCCTATTAGTACAATTGGTCGAGCACTCTATGCTTCTACATACGCATGGAGGATGTAGGTTCGAGTCCTACATAGGCTATTTGTTGTACCATAGTATTAACTTAAGAAATAGTGATTCTAACTAGAGACAAAAGTGGCCCTAACTAAGGGCAAAAGTGTTTTTAATTGACAAAAGTGATCCTAATTGAGAACAAAAGTGACACAAATTGGGGATAAAAGTGACTCTAACTAAGGGAAGAAGTGACCCTAAGTGGGACAAAAGTGACCCTGAGCGAGAGAAAAAGTGACCCTAACCAAGTGCAAAAGTGACCCTAACTGGCACAAAAGTGACCTTAATTGTGGGCAACAGTGACCCTAACCAAGGGCAAAAGTAACCCTAATTCAAGACAAAAGTGACCCTAAGCAAGAATAAAAATGACCCTAAGCGAGTGCAAAAGTGACCCTAACTGGGACAAAAGTACCTTGAGCAAGGTAAAAAAGTGACCTTAATTGAGGGTAAAAATGACCCTAAGCAAGAATAAAAGTGACCCTAAGCGAGTGCAAAAGTGACCCTAACTGGGACAAAAGTACCTTGAGCAAGGCAAAAGTGACCCTAATCAAGGGCAAAAGTGACCCTAATCAAGGGCAAAAGTGACCCTAATTTGAGACAAAAGTGACCCTAAGCAAGTGCAAAAGTGACCCTAACTGGGACAAAAGTGACCTTGACCAAGGCAAAAAGTGACCTTAATTGAGGGCAAAAGTGACCCAAACCAAGGGCAAAAGTGACCCTAAGCAAGATTAAAAGTGACCCTAACCAGCGCAAAAATAACCATAACTGAGACAAAAGTAAAGTGACTCTCACCGAGGGTAAACGTGACCCTAATCGAGACAAAAGTGACCTTACTCAAGTGAAAAGGTACCCCTAACCATGGACAAAATTAATAAAGAGTGAAAGTGACCATAACCAAGGTAAAAGTAACCCTAATCAAAAGAAATTAATTAATTAAATGATCCTAAGTTATATAAAAATGGCCATGGTTACATGGTTACACCAACAATATGAATACACCAATATGTATAGGCTATGTGGGGCTTGAATCCACACCATGTACACTTATAGTACATTGCTCTACCTTTTGAGCTAATAGCCTTGATATTAAACACTTCAATTTCCATTGCTATTATAACCATTGCAACACAATCACACATTTAAAAAAATAGCTAGTATGCTCATTAAAAGAAGGATAGAGAGAAACTTCAATTCATCAATAACTCTGGTGTCATCAAAAGTACATTGTGCCAATCCAAATCATCATCTATAAATGACTCAACCTCTTATCATAGTTGCATATTGACTATTACAATATCAGTTTACTTGCTCTAAAAGTTCTTGAGGCCTCGAGATCCCTAAAACCATTGAATAAGTGTTATAAAAAAAGAAGGATGAACTTTGAAAGTTACAGTAGCAAAATTTATTAAGGGATGATAGCAGAATCAAGCATCACAGCAGCCATTACACAACGTGGAGCCTCCTCAATCCATACTCTCATCTCCACTAGCTTGGGCAAGTTTATGAGCAGTAACATTACCACATCTACTTACATGAGAGAAAGAGATAAGATTGTTAAGACTAGTAAGCTTAACAAAGTCACTGATAATAACTTCCTGTTTCACATGCTTCAAATAAGAAAAAACTTAAATGTTACCAGTCTCAAGAATAGCCTTACTAAGGCCAGCATCCATAGCAATTGTTAAGACAGGTCTTGCGGCACAAAGGTTTTCATTGATCTTCTCCCAAAGTGTCCAGCATTTCTCTTCAACCAAATCCCCTACAAAAGACACCAAAATAAATCCCACCAAGATTTATCCTTTGAAAGTTTATCCCTCTCAATTTTCAAGTAATAAGGCAGTGATATCTAGTTCAAAAGACTAAAAAATTTTTACTGTACTCAACTCTATTGTCTAATGCTTGTGTAAGTAGGATAATTCCCTTCTTTGCAAAAAAAATTCCATAGAAGTAAGGCCTAAAAAATTTTAAATACTACCATGAACTTTTTTAAAACTCTTTTATCTATTGTATAATGTCTATTTGGTCCAAAATTATCTGAAATTCGGAAAGCTATAAAATACATTAATTTCAATTTCTTCAATAAAGTATAATTTCATATTGCAGGATAAGAAAAATCAAATTACATAAAAGACAAAGCAAATTAACATCCACAACATAGAACCCTATAATTTGATTTGAATGATGAAAATAAGTAAAATTTGCACAAATTACAGCATATAGCCTAGTTAAATTCATCATATAAAACCCTAGAATTCAAATAAAAACACGAATTACCTTTATTTCAATTGATCCTCAATGATTATTTCTAATGTGTGTAAAGAAAAGTGCAAAACAGAATACATAAAATAAAAATTGAAGAAAAAATTCACCTGCAATTAGTAGATTCGTTTGCAAGACGATTTTCACAGTAAAAAGAAAAAAAAGTAAATTAAGAAAACAAAACTATGAGTAAACAAACCTAGAAATCGATGGAAGAAAGCTACAAGCTTGTAACAATGGCGGAAACGGAAGCAAAAAATATGGCGGAAGAGAGAATGAGCAAAGGAGAGAGAAGTAAAATTAGGAAGAGAGAGAAACCAAATACTATAAATAACATTGACACGTGCGAGCAAAAACAAGGAAAGTTAATTACTTTCCTCATTCAACCCACCACACAGTACACTAATGTAAATCGGTTTTTTTTAAAAAATTTGTGTATAATATAATATTTTATAACATGTGTCCTTCATACCAAGTGTAGTCTCAATCACCACTACACCAACAGACAACACTTGGTAGGGAGGACCTGTGTGCTCCCCTGCAACAACAATTGGAAGGGGAGTGGAACCTAATAACCTAGAACTGATCCTCAAATCCGGAAAGGGTGAACCGGATAGAACACCCAAAACTCAGTGCATATATGACGGGAATTAACTTATCCTTTATCTATCTTATACAAAACTCCAAAGTCTATTTTTTTCAAAATATGATAATAACATTTGTAAATTTTGTTAATATGAAAGATATAAACCTATCAAAATGTATATATAGTTAAATTGTTTAATAACTTACATCGAATGCATAGTTTTATTAAAAATATTTGCATGTAATCATTAAATGTGTTGGATGTTGTGTAGCTATGCACTGTCCAAAACTTTAGTTGAACGACTTTGATTTAGTGTTTGTACAGTAAAAAGATATTGACTTCGATCTTGAAACCTAAAAGTCTAATAAATTCTAAATAGAAAAATTAAAACAAAAGGAAATGAAAATAGTAAATGGCTTTAAACATTGAAATAAACATAACCTTTTAAATCAATTTAGCGAATTCAAGAGATAATTTTAAGGCTTTTAAAATTAAATGGGGGAAAATATATGTAAAAAGAACATTTTTAGATATATAAATGTCCATGCACTATTATAAGAGTTTTGTTAACCTTTTTATAATTAAGGTAGGGATAAATCTTAGTAATATATAATCCGTATATTATATTTATATAAAATTATCAGTATCCATTAGGGATGGCAACGGGTCGGATCTGGACCGGGTCCGGATCGGATGGACCCGGATCCAGATTCGTTTTTGTATATAGGATCCAGATCCGACCCGGATCTGTCGAGTCTAGAAAATGAAGACCCGGATCCGTCGGGTCCAACGGATCCGGGTCCGGATCCGAGTCCAAAACGGGTCCAATATATTTTGCCTAATTTTTTGCAATAAATGTAATGTTCGGGTCAAAAATTTTATTTCAAACTTACGTTGTTGGTTATTAAGTTCAACCCCAAATTAACCAACTTATACACTCATATTTTGAATTAAAATTATAAACAACAAAAAAAATAAGATGTTACATATGAGCTAGTGAAAAAACAACGATGATGTATATAATATGAGCATCCAAAATTCATCTCTTGAAAGGGTTAATCTTTATCATTACTAACATTAGCAACATTTTTAATAAAGAAACAAACAATTTTAGTTTTTTTTAATAGGAAAAATAAAAAAACGGGTCCACGGATCTGGATCTGGATCCGGGTCTAGGGCCCAGACCCAGATCCAGATCCGTTTTTGTCAGCAGGACCCGGATCTAACCCGAATCTGTTGGGTCTAAAATTTGAAGACCCAGATCCGTGAAAAACGGATCTGGATCCACAGATCTGGGTCAGATCCAGATCCATTGCCATCCCTAGTATCCATACCTATATACGAAGTATTTGTGTTGTATACTGTATTTAATCAATTGTTGGTTATATATGTGATTAAATAATATATAGTTTTTGGCACAATTGTTAACTTAGGAAATTATATGTTCTGGTAGGTCAAATATAAGGTTATTATTGTGTTTATAGATTTAATGAGTGCGACGGGTAAATAAAACATGTATATATTAGATTGATTGTAGCTACTGATGCGGATGGTATGATAAGAAAATTTTATTTTTTTCTCAACGGGAGATATAAATAAATTAGTCCACTTCTTATATAGCTATGTGGAGTATTATTCAATTATATTTTCAATTAATAAAATAACATTATAAAAAATTAAAAGAAATTCAAATAACATAAAATACTATTCAAATAACGTTCCTTTAATTTTTTTTATTGACCATTAGTAACCAAGTCCTTTAATAGTAAATGAATTACCTTTGTTTTTATTTTTATTTTTCCTACAGGTTTAATAATTTGATTTGTAAATCGTGCATCGCACGAGCACTATGCTAGTTTATCCTAAAACTTCGCATATAGAGAAATGGAGCGAGTATTTAAAAACGGAGGGAGTAAATACTAAGTAGTTCATAAAATTTGAAAAACAATACAGTAATGTGAGTATAGACCTGATCATGACTGGCCTGGCTTGATTGTGGGTGGTGTAGACACCCATTTGTGTCTCCCCAAAACCAAACCCGGTGATGAGTACCTTTCACGTCGAATCATAATCGAATGAAGTGAAAGTGTGGAAAGTCTAGTGTTGCGGATAGTTTTAATTTCTTTTCTCTTCTCTCTGTTTTTAAAAACTTATTTTAAGAAAACAGTCAATCCAGTTTGGTTGGTCCATGATATGGGTCCAATAGTAGTGTAGTTGGATGGGGCTTGACAAGAGCTTTCCAACGATATATTATAGGCCCAATTCCGATGAATGTAGAGGAAGTTATGGTCAATTTACTAAACTGGGCTCGTTTTGAGCCTTAAATGCGGCCCAATGATCTAGGGGAGGGCCTAATATAATTTATCATTCCTAATGCAATTAGGAATGGTTTTAGTCTTCTAGATTCTTCTAGAAGGTTCTTTTCATTCCTAATTCGATTAGCATTGATAAATTGACTTTTGTTGACTTTTTAGAGTTTTAATTAAAATCAAAAAGCATTTTCGAGGAAAATATACGATTTTATCCTCCTGTACGGCAAAACTTATCTGATTTGAGAAAGCGCGTCAAAAACAGGCCTGGCGCCTGACTCCAGGCATTGGCGCTTGGAGCTAGGCCTGTTGCCTGGCGCTAGTGTTGGTGCCCGGCGCCAGTTAGCCAGGGTTGGCGCCAATCTCGTTTTGCGTGCGCCAGACTCTGTTTTGTTAATTTTATCTTTTTGGCTGATTTTCTCTATAAATAATCATCTAAAACTCTGTTTTCATTCACGAATTCTCACCAACATTCATCTAGATTCACCTACAATCAGCTTTTAATTCTCTCTCATTCTCTTTAATCATTCGCTAATTCTCATCAAGTTTTCTTAATTCATTCTTTCATTCACCATCTCCATCTTTCTCTTTCTCTTTTCTAACTGATCTTTTATATACAAAATTCCGCATTCGCAAGACCTAGAAACACCTAGCCATATTCGAAGTTTCCTTCGCCCTAGACGTGAAAGGTTTAATTTATGAGGGGTTGGTCCCAAATCTCTATTTCAATTATTTAATTTAATTGTTTTGATTATTATTTTCCTTGAAGTTACTAACGTGTGTATTTTGTTATTAGAAAGAGGCACGAGGCATCAAAGTAAGTGCTTCAATGGTTTTAATTGATATTATGATGTAGAAATCATGTTTATATTGTTATTATGATATTCCTAGTATCATGTTTAGGGAAAAGGTTATAATATCAAATATGCTTATTATGATTCCAGCGATGTTTCCTATGTTCTTCCTAATATTTATGATTGTTAGTATCATGTTAGGGTTAAAGATTTGATTTTTATTGCTTAGTGACATGCTAGGGTTTGTTATTAATCTTGTTAGTATCATGCCTAGGATCTTGCTATTATTATGCTTTAATATTAACATGAACATGATTATGGTTATAATTATAATAATTTATGATGATTATGATTATGATTATTATTATTATTTTGATGATGATTATTTTAGTTATGATGATATTATTATTATGATTATTATAATAATTGTTATTATAACTATTATTCATGATATTGATAATTTATCATGTTGCTTGATATTTATTTTTATTGCTTGATCACACCTTTTATGCATGTTTAAAGGGAATTAGTACTTGTAATCACGCTTAATAAGATAATTAATAATATTGTTAGGGTTAATTTGATTATAATTCAAGTGATCGCCAATAATAGATTTATTTGTGCATTAATTTTCAACCAACATAGATTAAACAGGTTTAGGGTAAACCTATTGATTGCATGTTAGTCAAAAAACGCACATGAATACGATCAGAATAAAGTAGAGGCCTATTATTAGGGAAGGTTCAATCTCTTTTAGGTTGGATTTGTACCATCATCCCCGAACCCTTATTTGGTTCTAGACCTTATGGAGTTGACGATCTCTTGGATCGTTAAGGGGTGTAACCTTCACCTCGTGAACGGTTTACAAGTTCCTAAAAAAACTTGTTGGCGACTCTTTTTCTCTATCTTCTTCCCTTTTGGACGCCACCGTACTTTAGTGTATGATCACAGTGGGGTTCAAGCAAGGGGATTAACGCTTGAAATTACCCTACATGTGGGATTTTGCCTTTGGGCAAAAACTTGTAGGGTGAAATCGGGTCATCAGGCCTAACGCGAATTTTTAAAATTTTCAGCGAGCCTTTAGCTATTTTTTACCGACCCCAAAATTCCGTGAAGCCCGCTCCAGTATTATTGATTTTGGGTGAGCATTTTTGGTCTAAACTTTGGTCCAACTCGACTCAATCAGTGAACTAACTTTTAAGCCTTGGCCCAGCCCAATCTGTCCTTTGATCACCTTTTCATGAGCAAATTCTTGGCTGCATTCTAGTGCAGCCAAGCTAGCTGCAACACCATTAAATGTGAACATATAGTACGTTCAAATGAACATACCTTTTTTTTCTTTCTTATATCTTAATTCTCTTTCTTCTTCTCCTTAGCTCTATTATTTCTCTCTCTCTTCAGTTTTCTTTTCAATTTAACATTTTCTCTCTCCTCTTTACCTCATTTCCCTTCAATCTTTAAGTTTTCTTCTTCTTTATATAAATTTTTGAGTTATTAATTCGTGTTTTGATGGGTATACTTCTTTCTTTCTAAATCTATGAGTTTCAGATTCAATCATTTGGCTTTATCAAAGAGGAAAGAAAAAAAATGGAGGAGAGAAAGTTGAAGGTTAAAGAAAACAATGGAGGTTTGATTTTATCAATTTGTAATTGTATTTTGTATGATTTCGTTGATCATGCATGATGATTTATTGTTTGATTATTTGAAATTATTATGAGTTTGTGATGAATATCAATTAAATTGCTTAATTGTTAATAATGCCAATTGTATTGCTTAATTTGTAGTTATTTTC